GCTGAGGCAGGAGAATCAGAGTTTGAGGTCATGCTGGGCTGCATAGAGTCCAAGGCCAGTCTGAATTATACAATGAAACTCTGTCTCAAAACAAAACAAACAAATAAACAGGTGTGGCAGCGGACACCTGTAATCCCAGCACTCAGGAAGCTGACACAGGAGCTCACGGTCAGCCTGAACTGCATACTGAGACCCTGTCTCAAAAAGACCAAAAAAAAAAGGAAAGAAAGAGAAATTTTAAAATTATCAGACATACTAACTTTCTCTGAATTAAAATTTAAAACCAAGATAATTTTTTTTTTTAAAGATAGAGCCTTGCTATGTAGCCCATGCTGGCCTTGGACTTGCTATGTAGACCAAACCTGCTGGGATCCTCCTGCATCAGCCTCCAGAGTGCTGCAATCATAAGCATGCACCACCACAGCCAGTTAAAGGCTCTTATTTTTAAAGAAATGTTAAAATATAATGTCATATTACCCAGTTACTCCAGAAATGCATTAGAAAAAGTTTAACCTTAGCATGCCACTAGACCCAGTTGGTGACGTGATTTACCAAGTTATATTTTTATCAACATAAAAGATTCAAGCCAATAATTCACTATGCTTATTAAAATTAATTTGCTTAAAATTAAGTTTTTATACAGGCTGTCTTACCATAAGCATTTAACGAACTATAGGAAAACAAAAAGGTTATTTCTCTTTTGTTTTCAACCTACAGAGGACAGATTCTTGCTTTCTATTGGTTTGGCTTTCTTTTTTTTTTTTTTTTTGTCTTTTTCCTTTTTCCTTTTTACCGGTACCGGGGATCGAACTCACGACTGCCTCCTTGCAAGGCAGGCGCTTATGTCGCTGAGCTAAATCCCCAGCCCCTTGGTTTGGCTTTTGTGGTACTGGAATCTAACGCAAGCATGTATTTGTAATAATTTGCACAATTATCAGACTTGCTGACTACACACTGAAAGTCAGCAAGCCCCAAAGAGTTAATCTAGTGGTACTACCTCTGTTACCCTAAGGAAGCCTAATAGCGAGCCACCGACAGCCCTGGCAATACCACACTTAAAGCAATTCCCAAAGTTGGCTACCTAAGCAACAGGCTATTAAACAAATCAGAGGGATGTGTGCAATAGATATCCATCTTTAAGTCTTATCTCTTGATAAGATAAGACGCCCACAAATAAAACATTTACAGAACTAGACAAGTCAGTGTCAATCTGCATCCTGAAGATAAATTCTGTCTGAATTCAGAGAAGACAGACTAGAATGGAAAGGGATGGAATGGAAAGGAATCACTCAAATTAAGATTCAGACTAGGATTTCTTTGAATCCACCTCTATTTAAAAGAACTTTAATCTTAGGCCTGTTATTAATCACAAACATATCCTAACCAGGCACTTCTCAGTTTTTTGTCTTTTTGAGATGGGGGTCTCACTTTGTAAACCAGGCTGGCCTTACTCTCCCAGAAATCCTCCTGCCTCAGCCTCTAGAATTCTGAGATCACAGGCTTGCTCCACCACGCCAAGCTCTGACTCCGTTTTTAGGTCTATAAATCAAGAATGTTAGATTCAAATGCAGTTATAGTTTGGTGCAGTGGTACATGCTTATACACTCAGACTTCTTCGGAAGCTGAAGCAAGAAAATCACAACCCCTTCTCATACAAAAAAAGGATGAGGATGTAGCTTAGTGATAGAATGCTCCTGGGCTCAATTCCTAGTACTGCAAAACAACACAACAAAATAAAAACAACAACATAAGAAAGTGTACATCACAATCTTTACCCTGAAATAAATCTCAGAGATTAGAGTGACTGGGGTGGTCAAGGTTGAATTTTAGCTACAAAAAAAAAAAAAAAAAAAACGGCATAAGCGGTTAGTGTAGATGGATGTGACATTTGAGGATGGAGCAGAGACTGGCTTGAGTACAGGGAGTATTTGTGCAAAAGAAGATGGGGCCAGACCATGATAGACTCAATTAAAAACCAATTTGCTTCTGCCAGGCATGTAAGCTCATTAAAACCCTGAGGTTAAGCTGAAACAGTATCACTGCCAAAGACTGCAGTGTGTAAAGGACAGCCACAAACTGTAACAGTACAATGACAGACCTGAGTAAGAGATTAAGTAGTTCAGCACAGCAGTTGACCACTAGGAAATGCCATACTTCAAAGCTGTCATAATCAGAGACGGTTTGATTTAGCAAAGAAACTACACAGCCCACAAAGAAAGGCAGTTCCCCTTGAAAAACTCACCCTGGAAAATAGCAGCCACCTTCACTAACCATAAAGAAAGGCATACAGCAAACATCTTACAAATCTCTTTAAATTCTGGTCACTAGCTAGACAGCAGTAACAAGCTCTTCACACAGCATGGGGAAAATGACACTAATGGTGCTGAAATTTAGAGAAACCCCTACACCTTCACTCCGATTTACCCAGCTGAAGGATGTTTTAAAGCAGGTCATGGTGTTATGCACCTATAATCTACTTGGGAGGCTGAGACAGGAGGACTTGAACCCAGCACTCACAGGCCAGCCTGGGTATCACAGACTTTTCAATGAAAGGTAAAGGGGCCAGTTATCTTTATAACTTTGCAACTGCACTTGCCTACTAGCTGAACTACTGCACTGCTTTTGATTCATTCCCCAAACTCAGAAAAGATATATTTTAAAAAAGAAGAAAAAAATTTTTAAAAAGACTTGTTGAACAAAAAACTAAGCTGTACCATAACTGCTACCCCCCCCCCCAGCTCCAATTTCCCATACCTAATACAGCGGGTACAAGGGGCACAAGTTGGACTTGTGATACAACCCAATGCAGACTGCCATCTGCTGCACACACACAGGATGTCTCCCAGGGACCTTCTAGGAGAGATCTTTCTAAGACCTTTCTGCTTATTTACACATTCACCTTATGTATATGCTTCAAATCATGTCTACTTAAATTCCCCTTCATGAAGTTTGGACATACGATGATTTCTAGGACAGTTAATTTTACAAGGGAGATGAAATGTAAAGGAGCAAAAGCAACTTATGAGAAAAAGAACATAACAAAGGAATCCCGGTATGTGCAGTACATACGAGTCCTGTTACATACCAGCTCTTTAATCTGATCCTCAATTTTAGTCATCAAGTATGAAAATCTAAATCTCTACGAGATACCATTCAAATTGAGTATGTTGTGAGGAATTACAGAAATATCAGACGGAGACAGCTATATGCATGATGATACAACAATTGTAGAAAAATAAAAAATGTATTTAAATACTTGAACTAATCAAATTCAACTTTTTTCAAAATCTTAAATTCTAAGTTCACTTACAAGTCACCATTCGAAGGACTACACTCTGCCCTTCAGCAAACACTCCATGATAATCCCCGGCACAGAGCAGGTCACTTGCATGAAGTATCCCCACAAGGAAGACACTCAATCTGATGGATTTGCATAGTGGAAAATACGAGGCACACATTTTTAACTGCCTCGTGAACACCACACCCCGACAGTATTAACAAACTGCAAAGTCAGAAGATGTCTAATTAAAAAACAAAAATAAAGACAACTTGGGGAGTCTTTAATTGGGAGAGAGAGGAATGCAATCAGATTTTTGGGTGACTTTATGTTTCTTGAGCACAAAACATATAACTGTTGGCTATGAAACAAGTAAATCTGAACTGTGTGAAAAAGCTCAGCTCTTACCCAAAAGGTTCAGCAAAGCAAAAGCATTACGCCAGTATGCCAAATGTGAAAAAGTACAATTTTTTCATAAGAATGAGCCTAAGATCATAACTATGACTAATAATAGCAATACTATCTTGCATTCCCAGAGCATCTGTTGTTTCCATAGCTCTTAGGCAATTTTATGTTATCAGGGGTCTCGGGGCGACCTCTCTAAAAACCTCCGATTGTTTCCTTAAAAGCTATGTGTTCACAGCAAGGCAAGGGATGTGTGTGTGTGGAGGGCTGAAGGCACTGATTTCTTCTATCAGGCTGTCTGCGGCGATCCTCTTATTACCACACTACACAACTTAGCCCTAGGAAATAAAACCTACACTCATGCTCTCAGAGTTGGCCGGAGACCAAAGCCTATGGCTCTAGAAAGTCCAGGGGAGAAGAACCTACTGATCTGTTAGGTCAAGATCTCCGCGCCAAATTGATCGTTTGCAAATGAGAAATACCGCTCCCTATCCCTCCACTGCCCGCCCCCCACCCGGGCACACACCCCAAGTCCGTTCGAACAGAAACTCCCTTTCATTGCCAGCCAGTGAAACCCAGCAATAAGCGGTTAACACAAGCACCAAATCAGTCTCTGCGAACTTGTCACAGCCGCTCCGCTGCCGCCTGCTGCCCGCCCGCCCGCCCGTCCTTCCTCAGGCACGCGTGCAGCCCCAACGCCAGCCCTCCGCAGGGACCACCGAGGACCTCGAGGACCGGGACACCGAGCTGCTCCCCGAAGCCATGCAGCAGCAGCTCCAGAGAGCTGGAGCCCGAGCGCACACACGCAGGAAGTCGGAGAGGGATAAAGTTTGATTCCCTTCCCGGCCGAGCCCGCAGGCCCGGGAGGTGGAGGAGCGGCCCGCCGGCTCCCCGGCTGCTCTCCGCGGACAGCGTGGCACCGCCGCTCACTCCGCCGCCAGCCGCGCGCGGCCGCGGCGCTCCGGACACCCAGGCGGAGGAGGGCGCGCGGGCTCGGCTCGGGAGCCCGGGCGGAGCGGCCGGGAAGGGGCGCCGCGGCGGGAAGCGGGAGGCGGGTCGGGCGGCGGCTCCAGCGCCGTGGCTTCCCCGCCCGGTGTCCCCGGTCCTGCGGGAACATCCCGCCGGCGCCCCTCCTCCCCCGCTCCTCCCGTCTCGGCTTCCTCCGCCCGCCCCTGCTGGCCGCCGCCGCAGGCGCCTGAAGGGCACGGCGGCTCCCCGCGCCTGGCAACCCGGGAGCGGCCGCGAGTTGAGGGAACTCGCCCGCCGCCGGCGGCCTGGCCGCCCCGCCCTCCCGCAGCCGCCGAGCGCGCTCGCTCACCGTCCGGTGGTGCTGCTGCTGCTGGTGGCGGCTGACGCCCAGCCCCGGGAAGCAGCCGGCAGTCAGCGCGCCGCAGCCGCTGGCGCCCCCGCCGCCGCTCCGGGAGGAGAGGAGCAGCAGGAGCGATCTACCTGCGGCGGCCGCCATCTCTCAACTGGAAACGGCGCCGGCCCAGGCAGCGCAGCGGACGGCCGGGGCGGAGCTAAGAGCTGCCACTCACCGACGCCGGACCAACTGCCGCGGCTGGCTGACTCGGGGAGGCGGAGCTTTCTGCAAAGCCCAATCGACAGGCGGGAGAACCACATTGCAGGCTGCCTGTCACTGCCAGAGTTGCCTATTGTGGGACACAGTCAATTACGGGCAAATTCTAGGGAACCTGTAATGGGCACCCGAGCCCCTTAGAATAGAGGAGTTAGAGACGGCACGTTCAGCTTGGCTAATCGTCACCAAGGACAAAGCTATGGCTAAGAGTAACTAGGGAAATAGATACTTCCGCAAAGCTTTGTTCTAGAGGAGAGTTCCAAGTGAGTGTTCTAAGTTGGCAAACAGGCACCAAGTGAATAACCATTAACCAGGAATACTGTAACTCAGTGACATACCACGTTAGCATTTGCAGCTGATAGTATTCGGATGTGCTGAAATTAACCTACATCCTAAAGACTGTGACTTCTATCCCCACACTGTAGAAGGGATAGAAGGATCGCATTATCAAAGTCCCTCCCTGAATGAGTACTGTACACGCCATCATAGTGAATTTACAGACCAGACCTGTACACTGTCAAATACTCAATCCATTTTCACAGCACCTTTATACTGAATTCTAACACTCTTCAGAAATGGCTATTTCTTAGCACACTTGACCTTCCGTGCCTTTATTAAACTATAGAAACAGAACAAGTAACAAAAATCATGTAAAGATTATTTTAATGACGTTTTTGCTAAAATAGTCATTAGAATGTATGTTGGAAAAGGTCTTACTCGCTTTGTCTTGTATTTCTTTTCTCTAGAAAAGATGGAAAGAGCTCACTGAAAACAGTATAAGAGGGGCTGGAGATTTAGCTCATCGGCATAAGCGCAGGAACCGGGCGTGGTGGCACACATCTGTAATCCCAATACTTGGGAGGCTGAAGCAGGAGAATTTGCAAGTTCGAGGCCAGCCTGGGCAACCTAGTGAATTCACGTCCAGTCTGCACTACATAGTCAGACTCTGTCTCCAAAAACCAAAAATGAAATAAAATAAAAATAAAACCTGGCATGGGAAATATTTTGAAAACACAAATATTTTAAATTGTGGAAAACAGTTTTAGTGTGACCTTAAGTGAAACTGAAACACACACACACGAATAAAATTGGGTCACTTGTTCTAATACTGTCCTTTAAAGTTCGACTGAAATGACTCCTTCTTGACCAAGAATAGCCAAATAATGTGAGACTTTACATAGCCCAGAACAGTAATATGATTGGCTTCTCCAGGTGAGACTGTCATGCCACTCGCCCAAAAAGCTTTACTGCCCAACAAGTGAAAGCCGAGGATGACCTCCCCATTCAACAGCTGCGCAGCACAATCTCTCCACCACCCCCACGTCCCATTGCAACTCCATAACATTCCTGGAACAGTTTCACTTACAGTCATTTTCCACCCATCTATATTTATCCCAAATGCTTTTTATGTGTTTATCCACCCTGTGCCATTTTCCCCTTCTCTGTCATCCCTTCATGCCTTCCTACTAAGATTACCATGGATTTCAGTTTTGTCTTTGTTTTTTGAACCTTTGCAAATGTAGTTATGAACCAAAAATTTTCCCTGCTATGCGAAATTTTACTAGAATTGCCTTTCCTTTAGTTTTTCAAGTATGAAAAATTAGAAGCACATCCCGTGGTACTAAGATGTAGCCTTGTGTATCTAGAAAAGAACTTTTTAAAAAATGCATGTGCATGAATCTAAAGGGATTAACAAAAGCTTTTTTTCCCTATCTATTTACTGAAATGTGTCTTCTTTTATCTACCAAGATGAAATCACTGCTGTCCTGGAACTAAACTATGTAATTTGAAGACCCTCTGACTAAACTGAGTTCTTATCATCCAGGCTAGCAATAACTCTCAACAAATGTGAGTTATCTTCTCACAGAGAAAACCTTTTCCATAGCTGCAAAGGACATATCTCATATGGGTTTGATGGCCTAATCTGATGAGAAAGTATAGATAACTCAACAGAAAGTCAACCTCACACTTTAAAAAAAAAGAAAAAGAAAAATAATTAACATTTACTGCAAACCATGTACCAGAGACCATCACTCTATAGATATAGGAAGGCAAAGTAACTACAAATACCTTTAAAAGATTGTTGCTTTTATTAAAAGTCTGAGGAAACTTCAATATTGTCCCATAGAACCAGAAATTGGTTAAATAAGTTACACAGCTAACCTTGAAACAGAGTACTACCCAACCATTTAAAAGTCAATTATCCTATCTATACCTTTAAAAAATGCAAGAATATATATAATACAGTAAAGATGATCAATTATATATATACAATGTAGACAGTGGTTTATAATAGAATATACAAGGAAATGTTACATCTGGGAAGTTTTAAGGGGTTGCTACCCTTTTGAGTGGTTTAAATATCCCACCTGCATGTTATTTTTATAATTATAAAAATATGTTCACTAAAACCCTACAAAGACCAGGCATGATGGTGCACACCTGGCATTCCAGCACTTGGGAGGCTGAGGCAAGAGGATATCCGTGAGTCTAGGCCAGCCTGGGCTATATAACCAAATTGAAGACCAACCTGCACCATATAGCAAGACCCTGGCTCAAAACAAAACAACAACCAAAAAAAAAAAAAAAAAAACCCCAAACCAATAATAATAATAATAACAATGATACTGTCTACAAAGTTGCTGAATTGTTTCTGCACCAGTCCTTAGAAACAAGTTGATCTTTTTTTAAGCAAAAACTAATCAGAACAGATTTCCTGAAGCATGAAACCTTAACTATGTTCTCTACTAAAATGTACACTAAACTCAGCTTCCAAGCATGAGTCAACCCAATGGAGTATTTGCCTAAGCATTCCAGAGGATCTAGGGTGGGTAGGTGATACCACTTCCCTGACCTGAGCAGAAAGCATAAAAAGAATCTACTCAGAGGTCTGGAGAATGTGTCTCTTGGATCACCAATAACGTGAATTATCATTTAAGCGAGCCCAGCAGTTCTTGAGAAACAGGGAAAAGTGCATGAAGAAGCAGGGCAGAAGGAAAGGGTGCAGCCTTTAAACATTTATCATGAAGCACAGCTTAGACCTGTTTGCTTCAGCTCCGAAGTCATTATCCCCACTTTTCTGCACTCACTGGTCTGCACTCTCTCTCCTCACTACCGCACATCTTCCCATGACTTCCCTGTTTCTGTGATATTTTTTCTATCCTTTTTCCATCGGCTTCTCTGGGTCATAAATATTTCTAGTCAGTGTAACTGAGGATTGAACTGCTCTTAAACCCCACTATATATCTTTTACTGGAGACATCTCTTGTCACATCATTAAACACCAAAACACACATTCATTTTTTCTTCCATATTTTTATTTCTCTCCTTTCTTTTCCTCCAGCATTCCCATCTCCCCTACTCTAACGAGATCAGAGAGACTTATGCACCCTCTCAAAAAATTTTTGTGTGCAGGAGGCTCATGTCCTGGTCTCCAGAGGATGACTGGCTCCCTGTTACGGTTTGTGTCTAAATGTCCTCGCAAAACCTCATGTGGTCACGGGGCTGTTTCAGAGGTGGTTGAATCTAGAATGTGAGATGCTGAGAGCAAGGGTGCATGATTAGTGAATCAGTCCATTGATTGTTTTGGCATAGCTCTGGCTAGGATTAAGGGTATGAGTGCTATCCCTGCCCTAGGGTGGGTAGTCTGAATATAACACAAGGGACAGAAAGAAGCTTGTTTTCTCTCCCTCCCTCCCACTCATCTCTGCCTCCTCCCCTCCCTCTCCCCCTCCCTTGTTGCTTTTGCTACCTTGAGGATGCCATGAACTGTTCTCCGCTGTGCCCCTCTGCCAGGCCACCCTGCCTTGGAGCCAGCTGATTGTGAACTAAAACCTCTACAAACTGTCAGCTAAATAAATCTTTTCTCCTTTAACTTTGAGTGTCAAGTATTTTGCTTCAGCAATGAAAAAAGTAACTAAGACACTCCCATATTCATTTTATAGCTCAATGACCCCATGATCTAACGTCCATTCTGTCATTTCTGCTAAGAGTAAAACCCCAGAAAAACACTGAGTTGAGAAAGGCAGGGCTTGTTCAAATAGGCTTGTCTTTGCTTGTTTTTCTCAGGTTCTAAGAGGTTGACAGCAAACTTTAAAGCTGCTCTTTTTAGTATTGGACTGACTCATGGTCAGCTATATTCTTTGTGATTTACTAGACTTTTGAGTCTAGGAATTTTTTTCCCTCTATCTGAAGTGGTTCAAAAGGGCAGGATATGAAGTTTGCACTCAAGTAAACCACACTTTCTAGGTGCATAAGAAATGAGCTCTTATTCTTATAGAACCCAACACCATTCATTCTAGAACATTCAAAAGTGTCAAAAGATCATAAGAACTTTCTCTTACAGCACTGAACAATGACACAATTCCGTATCAGTAAAGTGGCTCACTTCTCAGTTCCCTGTATATCTACCCATCACATCTTGAACATTCCTCCAAACTGCCAAACATTTCCTCCAATAATTATCTGTCCTCTTCTTTTCAAAACCAGATTGGTCTCCTCTGAGAGTAAATGTCCATGTAAAACAAAATTCCACCTTGCATATTCTCACAATTTGTCGCTTGACTTTCCATCAGAGCTGCTTGGTAGTAGATCTGAGCTGCTCTGGCTCTGAGGTCTGTCACTTCCGTGATCAGTAGATCTGTTTGGTCAGGCTAATTTGGCTGGTTCGGTCCACAGGCTCCTCTCACCATTGCAAGTGTATTTTGTATCACAGTTATTCACATTACTATCTTTCTCCTACAGAGATCTTCCAGGTTACAGCTAAATCCAGCAAATTAATTGAAGCTACCTCTAGATGATGTCGTTGCTCCTGAGATAGCCCTATTGTGCATGACACATCAATAGGAGCCTCTAGTGCTGATGCCTAAAAGAAAGTCACAAAATATAGCAAGCATGAAAAATAATTTTAGG